TAGATTAGATCTAGATCTCCCAAAGGAGCCTTTAAACTATCCAAATATAAAACACTCGTAATTGAACTTACTAACATTAGAAGGTACAAACTTTGACAGAGTATTTAGTATTTAAATTATACCAGGTAGTGTGCTGGATCCTTATTTTGGAATGCTTCCGTTGGCAGTGAAGACCATCTCTATCCCTGGAATTAAGGGAACTGGAGACACTGGCTAATTTACAAATCAGTTTTGCAATTCCTTTTTATAGAGTGCTACAGTTTTACAAATGCCCTTTTCTAACTTCAACAAACACAATGAATTCACAGCTATAATTAGAACTTGGTCCTTCATCTTTTCATAGGACCTATGAATTTTCTTTTTTTTTTTTTATGAAATAGCTTTCTAAAGAAAAGTTTTAAAAGGAAAAAACCGTATTGTCACACACTGAGATTGACAATCCCTAAAAAGTCTGCAGCTATATTTAAGTCAAAGGTCAGTTCAGATGGAAGTTTCAACTTATTTTTCAATTCCTGCTCTTTTAAAAGGCCATGTGACTTAAAAAGCTATTCCTTTCATACAGGAAGAAAATGGATGGTCCCAAATGATGAGAGTAGGTGATAATAATCATAATTATGATAAAAGCACCATCAATGTGCTCTCCAGGAAGATATTTTATATGACATCAAGAGCTTGGTACAAGAAATGAAAAGAGAAAAAAATGTGCTGGTACTGCCAGTGTTCAGGCATTTAAAGCCAATCATATGTCACTGATACAAAATAGCATGTTAACAGGTGTCAAATTCAGAAATCAGTAAGAATCTCCCCCCCTTCACTTTAATGGTACAAATTGAATACGTGTACCAAATTCTAGCAACAAGAGTTATATTCCTTTCTAATCAATAGGTGCTTTAGTTAGTAATGTTGGTTTTTTTTTTTTTCAAGATATGTAAATTATTTTCCAATTTGAGTTGTTTACTTATCTGTGCTTGGGTGAATCTTCTCTATTTAACATCCAGAGAACACAATGTAGAATGTTTTTGAATTTATGACTCATAATAAATATAAAAGAGACATTTTTAACAACCATATTTAAGAGATTTTGAAGAAATTACCACAGGGAGCAATTCCTTCACGGCCAAAGACCCTGTGGAGTGGCTCTCACTATAGGTCATCTGAAACACATGAACACCTTGAACGTGGCCTCAAACTGATCCCACTGGAGAGAGTCAAACAGTGTCTCTGGCTGAGGACTCTCCATGCTCATTGTGCTTTACTGAAAACAGGGAGATTAAATAGAAGCTTACCAACTGAATGTTGAGAACTCCAGCCATTTTCCTTTGCTTGGTTCCCAAAATGCTAATATTCAGGCTAATATTCCCTGAATTTGATTCTCTGAGGAGTCTAAACTGCCCAAGGGAAGAGACCAGAAAATACCAACAGTGGAGATAAGAAGAAGAAGCTTACCAGCTTCAAATAATGATTATGCTCATGGATATGTATGTTCCTCTTTTCCAAAACATATAATCACAGTGGAGACATAGAGTGAAACATGAACAAATAAAACGCAATGCTCAATAGTAAATGAAGTCAATTGGCTGATAAAGTCAACTGTTAATTACATAAGTTTGGAGAAAGGAGAGAGATGACGTCCAGAGCAGCTTCATGGAAGGCTTCACAGATGAGTGGAATTGGATCAGACCTTCTAAGAGGAGTAGGAGTTTAGCAGGTAACAAGAGGAGCAGGCACACCAGGTGGGGATAAAAAGTGAGCAAAAATTACAGGTCAAAAACTTAACAGGTGTGTTCAGGACAGAGCGAGCAGACAAATTGCTTGGAAAATGTAGAAGATAGAACTGAAAACAAAAATGGGAGCAATGTTTCAGGGTCTAGAACTATCACTTGCATACTGTAGATACTCAAAGAGTTTCTAAATGAAAGGCGTGAATGCCAAATCTGAGCAGGAAAGTGATTTGATCAGTTGCAGTTGTAGAATGACTTAAACCAGTCCTTTGGTGAAGAAAGAGAGACCAGGAGTAGTTCCCCAGTTTTCCAGGCATAAGAATTTAGTACCTGAAGTGAAATGGCAGCAGTGTGACATGGACAGAAAGAAACAGAAGAGAGAGTTAATTCTAAGAAATAAATTTATAGAATTTGGTTAAATAAAAAAGAATAAGAAAAATGTTCATTAAAATTAATGTCAAGGATAAGAAGAGAGGTTCTCATTCCCAGATGTTTTGCCTCTCCCATCTCCTTCCCATCTCACAGACTGTTGATAAAAAAGGAATGGATTTAGACAAATAAAGACAATATTATACTTTGTAATTTGGGGTTGGCTGGGGGAAGCTTTGAGCTCTGTCTGCACAGAGCTGCACTTATTATTAATGCATTTTAAGAGACAAAAGGCATCCTACGCATCTCTGAAAATTCTTCCCTTCCTGATTTCTGGGCAAAGGAATTTATATGCGGATGATTTCCCTTGAGCATTCTTTCTTTCTAGTGACGAAAATACAGTCAGTGGTCTCAGTCAAAGCAGACTTTCCCCAAGGCCACACACATCCAGCCTGCCAGTCTGAACTGCCACCAACCATTCTCTCCCTACCTCCTAGTTATTTCCTCTAAATAAATTACAACAGGAAGGGAGAGAACAGTACTTGGGCAGAAAGCTTCACAATGTAAATACCACTTACAGCTGACAATGTTGTTTTGCATATGTGCATCTGCCCCAAATTAGAAATACTTGTGAATGGAATACCACAAATGTCTTTGAAGTTCATTACCATTGAGAGTTAGGCACTGAGGGGGCCTTTTCCTTGTTTACATAGCATGTTAAGGTCTCACAGAGACTAAGGGAAGTGGAGTAACCACTCTGGTTTACATTATAAGACGGTTCACAGAGATGAAAAGACTGTGTGCAGAGAGTCATACTGCCTCTGTTATTACCACCAGGACAGATACGGCAAACAGAAAATCAAGTTTATCTGTCAGAACCATGGGTTATGTATATAAAGATAACTTCAAGTTCTTGGGAAGGTTCAAATTCGCTAAGGACGTGATGACCCCCTATTCCAAATCTATGGTCTATTCCAAATCTATGGCTTTTATAAGGTTTTATAAGGTTTTGCCACATTTTCCTCTCTCTTGCTCTCCTTGTAAGAGTGTAATAATGCCTATGTTTATTTAATGAACCATTTTCTTATATGTAGTATAAAACCTGAACCTATAATTGGGAGAATCTCAAAGGAGAAGGAGTCTAGGAGAGAATGACCAACTCATGTGTCAGATAAGGTGGCAAATAACAAATTAAAAGACACTCAAAAATGACTTGTTTTAAATGGCACCCAGATCAAAGAAAACAGTGTACGGGTGACATTGTGTTTAATGTGTTAATAAGTGTACAAACCACAGAACCACAGCAGAGAGCACATGGAGAAAAAGTCATGAGATCAACATAGGTGGATGCAAAGGGATTTTGTACATGCTCCTGCCTGTGTTTAGATCCGCCATCTTTCTTCTGTTTACAGTGGGGCTTGGAGACAACACATTTTGAAATGAATTTGTAGTAATGACTGACTTTTAGGTTTCTTCAGTCCAATATCATCTTTAAGACCTTTCACTCTAGTTTTTATGCTCTGCCTTTTAAATCTGTGTGGCTCCCTACTGAGCCCCTTTAGTGACCAATTTTATCTGAGCAAATAGAAAATTCTGTAATTTAGTAGAAAGTCTCCTCCACTTGAAAGCATAGCAAAATTGTTCCTCAGAACTCCCAGGTACATTTTCCTAGCCCAGAAAGTTGCCTTAAATACAGTTGTGGGGGCATCTGCGTGGTTCAGTTGGTTAAGCGTCTACCTTAGCTCCAGGTCATGACCCCAGGGTCCTGGGATCAAGACCCACATTGGGCTCCCTGCTCAGCAGGGAGTTTACTTCTCCCTCTACCCCTTCACCCCTGCTTGTACTCTCTCTCTCTCTGTGTCAAATAAATAAATAAAATCTTTAAAAAATAATAAAAAATAAAAATAAATTTTAAAAAATACAATGTGTGTTTCCCTTGAGGGTTTGGCAGAAGTTGACAAAGAAAGTCTTCTTAGGACTCCTTTTCTGTCTTAAACTTTTTTCCACCAAGCTACCCAGAAAGGCAGGTAAAAACTAATAAGCATCCTTAAGGTATTTATATGAAGCTCCAAGCAGAGCATAATTAAAAACCTTTGAGGTTTATTCTTATTTTATCATACAAATTCACCTCAGTTTTTCTCTCTAGTCATTAATGTGTTTTCATCACCGATATTCTCAATTGGTAGATGTGAGGATTGGCATAGACCTCTAGAGAGACAAAGCAAAACTGGATGTCTGTGGTGGCATGGTGGCAGCAGAGAGGGGCAAGAAGCGGGAACAGAAAGAAATGAATGGCATGAGAATCCATCCAGAGACAACCATGGGGAGAAGTGGATAATATTCAGGTAACTCATACCTGTATGAAAAGTTTATAATAAAGCCCGATTTATGGTAGCCTATTGATGTGGGAAACAAAGGCCAAAGTAAAATTATTAAATTTCCTTACTACTTGCAGCCCATTGTCCTTGAAACAGGCAGAGTGACATTCCTCTAGGAACTCAGCTGCCTCGATGTTAATACTTTGTTAAGGGCAAAAGGCAATCTTAGCCTGAACCCCAGGATCCTGTAAGTGTACTTTAACATATAAAAATTCCTTTGGAAGCTTCCTTTATCTCTATCCCCCAAGATACATGTTGGCAATCATCCCCCAAGCATATGACCCACCAATATATATTTGAAGTGTCTCATGACTAAAGTTTTATTAGAAAGTAATAAAGGACATTTTCCTAACAATAGCTAGCCCCCTCAAGGTCCTGGAAACCTTGCTTCCAAAATTCCTTTGAGATTTATGCTATCCCTAACCCTCTCCCAACTTCAAAGTATATCATGGGCCACTTGTCATGACCCCAGCGCAGCTCTTCCTGCCCACAGGTCCTGTCCCCAGGCTTTAATAAAACCACCTTTTTGCACCAAAGATGTCTCAAGAATTCTTTCTTGGCTGTCGGCGTTGAGTGCTAACAACTTTCCTACATCACTATTGTCCAAAAAAGGTCCAAACAGATCCAGTCCCACATGCTGACCTTTAATGATGATAATAATCTGCAATTGCTTCACCTGCACTGCATTCCCTTTAATAAGTCAAAGTACCTCTTACTTAAGTTACATTATGTCAAAATACAATTTTCATGAAGTTAAAGACGGTTCCCAAATATATAGTGAGCACTTGTCACAAATGTATTTACTTCATTAATAAGGAAATCAGCAGGATGACAAAGCTGGTTCAAAGACAGGGGAAACTGCTATATAGTCAATGAAAAATAGAATGCTGAAATACAATTTCTAGGAAAAGAAGCAAAAATCACAGCCTTTGCTGCCATCTTGTCTACAAAGCAGAAATTATTTACATCTCCACCAAACAAGAATCATTTGCAACTTTTCAATCTCCCACAAGGTAATATCTAACTTTACTGAGTTTAGATCCTAACCAGTAATAAGTGTTGCATCATCTATCAGTGCTTCACCAACTTGGGTGAACGTTAGAATCACACTAAGGGCTCGTTAAGCCAGATTTCTAGGCCCTGCTCCCAGAGTTTCCAGTCTGGGATGGGTCCTAAGAATTGGTGTGTCTAACAAGTTTCATGTGCTACTTCTGTTGCTGGTCCAGGGACCACACTTTGAGAACCACAGCTCTAGCTGGATATTGAAAAGTCTCATGGTAATATTTCTGCCATATTTTCAAGTGTCACATACGTCAGGATACATTGTGAAAGACTTTAAAATAGACCAACAAGATTACTGGATATCTTTAATGGAAAACTAGGACTTACCTAATTCCAGATATTCTGAATCCTTGGGGTTTGCATCTTTCATTGTCTTTGAGCTATTCTAGAACTCTGTAATTTGTAGATAACTAATAGCAATGCAAAGGATTCTTGTCCACAGACATGCAAATTAATTATGTCTAGGTGGAAATACAAATGATTCCCCCCCAACCCTCCACACTCACTCTCTGCAAAAAGCCACTTTTGCATTTATTTGTAAATTTAATTTCAATATTCTTTGTGTGTGTGTGTGTATGTGTGTGTTATTATATGGTTCTTCGAATTTTCCTTTGAATTGCTTGTTACATTTTATTGGTTTCCTCAATTAATGAGTTAACTGAAATCTTCAGCACATGTTTATTTTATATTTGCATGAGTCATAATTATACCCTTTAAAATTATCTTTTAACAGTTATTTTTCCTTAAAAATAATCCCCAAGTTCAGAATTTCACGTTTTGTTGATACTGTTTCCACTGCAAACAAGTGAATGTCTTCTTCTAGTAGAGCTGGTTTGTGATTTTTTATTTCCTAACACTTAACGATCAGTTTTAAAATTTAGTCTACTGGGCCACTGACCCAGACTGGGATCCTATAGATTCCAGCTGCCTCTTTTCTTTAAGAATAACACAGCTGCTCTTACTTCTTAAATCCTTCTTTCTCATAATTTATCTAACCCAGTGAATTCATATTTGTTCCTTTCAACTTGTATTATTTTGGGGTGTAGTTTGGCTATTTCTATTATTCAAGGTGTTGAACTCAGCCATTAATTAACAACAGCAAAATCACAAAACATTTGCTACCTGTTTCCAAGCCTGGAAACTCTTAGACATCTGGATTATGAAGAGGAGGCTAATTTTTGTGCCAACTTAGAATCCTTTGAATTTCTAAGGTCAGCAGGAAATCTTAACTGGCTGGTGGGGTCATGGACAGATATTTTAAACTCTAAGTTCATGACCCTGGATGCTGCCCAGCTTTTACTCTGAGCTGCTTCCTTCCAATAGAGCATCTGTGTTCTATAAGAGGAGCTCAGATTCTCTGCACACACACCCCAGCCGGAAGAAGCCCTTCCTGGGCCCCTGGCTCTGGAATCCCTAACAGACTCCAGTCCCACTGTCAGAGCTCAGCTCCTCCTCCATCCCCTCTCTCGGCAAGTTCATTTGGGAGACCATAACACCCAGTTTTACCCAGAAACCATTGTCTGTGGTTTTGCTGTTTCCCTGACCACTGCAAAATGCTATAGGGTGTACTGGGAGGAATACAGAGGTCAGGCGGGGTCCACTCCAGGCAATAACTCTGTACCAAAGAAGAAATAATACCACTCATTTTTCCTGGGTTTAGAAAAATAAGACCCTGAATTTTTTGGTTAATTGTCTTCTCAAATAGTTGCTATATATGCAAGGTCTTCCAAATTAACATTTAGCCTTTTTATCCCAAGTACTTACATTTGCATAGAAAATACTTTTAGGGGGTGCCTGAGTGGCTCAGTCAGTTAAGCAGCTGCCTTCAGCTCAGGTCATGATCTCGGGGTCCTAGGATTGACCCCCACATCGGGGCTCAATGGAGAGTGGGGAGTCTGCTTCTCCCTCTCCTTCTGCCCCTCCCCCTGCTCCTGCTCACTCTCTCTCTCAAATAAATAAATAAACTCTAAAAAAAAAAGAGAAAATACTCTTAGGATGCCATATTTTAACTACTATCTTGACATATTTTTCAAAAAGAGGGCATGGGTCACCTTAAAATGTCCTTTATGCAAAACTCTTCCCTCAACATTTCCCTAGTGTCCAAAAGTTCCTAACTATAGGCAGGAGGCCCATGTTCTGATGCGTCTTCTCAATCTCCCTTTGTCATTTTGTTCTATGTAGACAACAGAAGGAAAATACAATGAAAAAGAAATCTCGCACTAAGTTCCCCAATCGAAATGAGAATCTCCAGTGGAGGTATGACTTAAATCTCAGAACATACCTCTAATCTTTTAGTGACCTAGGATCACCTTGACCTTTTAGATCTACAAAAATATCATTTCAAACACCACAGATGTAGGACCAGGAGGGAAAAGAGTTGCCAGATAAAATGCAGGATTGTCCTAAGTCTTGCCTGAGAAAATACTTATTACTAAAACATTGCTCATTGTTTATATGAAATCCAAATTTAATTGGACATCCCATATTTTGTTTACTAAATCTGGAAACCCTAGGAAGGGGTAACTCATTCCCTCCAAATCTAGAGATCCTTGAGGGGAGAGAGGGCACATGGATTGCAGGTCCCCTTAGGCTTGAATCTTCTGATTTGGCTGCATTGTTAGGCTTCCTCATCACTCTCCTTTTTCATTGACCCCAGCACTAGACACAGCCTCTTTTCCTTGATTTTTCCAAATTACCACTAAATGCAAATTAAGTTTCTACTGAATATTCAGAGCTGCACAGGGAGGTAGCTTTTACCTTAGAAAACCCACAGAAGTTTTTCAGTCACCCTCACCACCGTTTATCTCCTTTTTGTGGATCCAGCACTCCGATGATTTTCTGGACCCCATCTGTGCCCCTCGATCCTAGCTCATCTGTCCCACGTCCCCAGATTCCTATACTTTTCTTACTGCAGAACAGTTTGGAATGAAGCTAATTGCAGGCTTATTAAGTTTGCTCAAAGGCTCTCAAGTACAATGTAAACGTGTGTCTACATGAAGAGTAGTCATTCCTGAAGTTCAAGTTTGTTATCAGCACTTAGTATTCTGTACTCCCTTCTATATAAGGGAAGCAATAACATTTTTGTAAAGTTCAGGAAAACAAGGCTCAGGAGAAAAGAGAAAGTTAGGATTAAGCATCCCCAAAAAGAAGTGTCTAAGGCAGTCTTCAGATGTGTGAAATGTTACAATAAATGTTAGCAACTAGTTCTCTATCTCCACTAAGCCTGTAGCTAGAGGGAAATAGTCAAAAAACTGCAGGTAGGATGTTGGTCATCTGTACAAATGAGCCCACTGAGCCTGCATGTACCAAAGGGATCAGATTAAGAGCAATAACTCAGATATCATAAACATGTGCCTCCCCTCAATATAAACCTTCCAGTGAGTAGTCAGAGCATTGTAGTCCTCCTTCTGAGACTCTCTTGGGATGCCTCATGATTACATACACTGCCACGAAAGACAATTGAGAGTGGCATCTCCCCAGGGCCACTGATGCCAAGGCCTTTCATGAGAACTTAGACGTATTAATTATATTTTCAAATTTTTTCTATATTTTTATGGTGCTTTAATATCTTGGGATTTTGTGGTACTTGAAAAGGACTGCCCCTCTCAGACTTAGCTATTCCCTAGAGGGAGGAAACAACGTGCTTGTGACCAAACCAATCAATCCAGAATCCATGCCCACATCTACCTCCTTTTATCAGACTACTCCCTGTGATCCAGGACACTATGCCTCCTGCCCCAAATCACCCTGGAACCAGATACTGACAAGTAGAGGCTACCTACCCTTATATCCCAGAGACCAACAAAACTGTTCAAACTATCCAGTCCTAAAGGCTTAGATGTTTACCTTGTCTCACCTATCCCTGCCTACAAAAATCACAATGAAGCTTTTGTCCATGCTCCCCTTGCTCCTTTCTGCCCCTAACTAACCCTGGAGCTTCCAATGTAGCTCTGTGTGGCATGGTATTCCCCTCCTTTTAGGAACTATGAGCAACAAGCTATCTTTTCAAAGGCAATCATCTCCTAATCTGCTGGCTTCACCATACCTGAATAAAAACAAAATCTCAGATACATTTTAAAACCAATGTCTGGGCCAGAGATGTTCTCTATCAGGATTCCCAGACTGATCTACTCTCAAGGTGCACTGGCTAGAAGGAGAGGATCTGAATTAAGATACATTCTCAGGAAACTTGCAGGAATTATGATTACTTCCCTCTCTTGGGACATCCAGCCTGACTCTACCCCAGAGGTAACCCTCTTAAGGCAGAGCCACAGGCAAGCCCTTTCCAAATGTCCTTCTCCAAAAGAAACTGTCCAACAGTGGGGTGCCTGGGTGGCTCAATCAGTTGAGCGTCTGACTCTTGGTTTCAGTTCAGGTCATGATCTCAGGGTGGTGAGATTGAGCCCCGTGTCAGGCTCTGTGCTGGGTGTGGAGTCTGCTTGAGATTCTCTGTCCCTTTCCCTTTGCTCCTCCACCCACTCACATGCTCTCTCTATATAAACAAGTAAATAAGTACATAAATACATAAAATCTTAAAAAAAAGAAATTGTCCAACAGGAATCATACTTAGGTATCAGGGCAATGTTTAGCTATTCAACAAATTTCTATTTTCTTACACTTCAGACTCCGGCACAGTTATATTTCCCAGCTTCCCATGAGTCAGGTGTGCCCCTGTGACTGAATTCTAATCAGTGGAATGTAAGCAGAAATGATGTGTACCACTTACTGCCTAACTCTTGTAACAAGTGCAGCTGCAGGCTGGATGCTAAAGGTGACAATGATGGTGAAGCCATAGACAGAATGTGCCTAGGTCCTAATGACACTACCTGGATAACAGCCAACCTCTACCCAGAAATACCTGCTAGAGTTTCAGTGAGTAAGAACTAAAATTCTACTATATCTGAGCCATTTTTAAAGTGGGGATCTACTTGTTACCACAGCTCAGACTTCCCAACTAAGACAGATATCAACAGTTTCAGCAGCTTGAACCATACCTGGTATTTTTAGCAAACACCAAAAGTCAGTTTCTGTTTCCTCTGACTCTCCTGCATTGAAATGGCTGAAATCCCATAGGCTATAGAAGTTGCTGAGGATCAAAGATGTTCCATGCCAGGTAATGCTTCTGCAAACCAATGTTTAAAGAGTCTACTTCAGGGATTATGGAAAGAATATGCTTTGTGACTGCTTTTAATTGGTGCCTGTCATGTGCTTGATAGAATTTTATTAACAGAAGTGTAAACACACAATGCAATCTGCAGAACACAAGAATCTTAAGAAGCTTATGAAATTCAATCAAAGTTCTTTTTATCTTTGGTGTTTGCTGATAACTCATTAAATGTTTCCCAGTGTTACAAGTTGTGCAGCAGAGAT